CGTTATCAAATCAGTGGCCGATCGACACTGACAGTTGTCAATGTAGATTCAACCGGACTTGGACGTGATCGGGGGATCCCAATGCCCATGACGGCCGGTCAGGGCGCTGAACAGGATCGGGAGGCTGAGCTTCTCGCAGAGGCGGCGGAAGCATGCCTCGGCTTCACGCTCGTGCCGGCATCGCCCTGGCTTATGAGAGCAATGCAGGTCGACTATTTGTACCAACGTTGGAACCCGCGCCCGCTCGATGCTCACCACCGCGAGGGTATCGTGAAAGACCTGAAGCACGAGCCTCGCAACGTACTCAAAGAGAACGCGCTTCTGCTCGCCGTACCCGGTGGATCGGTCAGCCCGGAGTCGTTCATCGTATCCGGTCACAAGGGCTCGAAGACGCCGAAGCTGCAGCTTGCAGCCCAGGCGATTGAGGACGAGAAATCGAAGGTCGTGCTTGACGTGATCGCCGGGCAGCATCGCCTGCACGCGTCTGCCGACTGGCACCAGGACGGTGAGAATGCGATCGTGCGCACGGAGAAGCGCGTGGACGATTGGAAGGCCTCGTTCAAGACGTCGGAGGCGTGGAGGGCCGAACTCAAGCAACGTGAACAGGACGTGGAGAATGCGCATGCGTACATGCACGAGCGGGCGTGGTGGTTGGCGGAGGTCTTCGATAGCGGTGCGTTCGTATCGTTCTCACAAATCTCGCACGATCACTCATACCATCCTTAGATAAACTCTCACCTGCGGCGATCAACACGCTCGCGCGAAACCGCGACGCACGGAAGAAGGTGGAGGGGGATCAAGAGAAGTTTACGATGGAGATGAAATCACTGTGTGAGATCAAACCGTCGCAACTCGTCCAAGTCCTGCGCGATAAGCAGGAGACCCACAAGGAGGCTCAGCAGGCGGAACGACAGGTCAAGGGCGGGCACCACGCAAACACGATGTTCTCGCGCATCGTGCACTGTCTTCCGCTCGCACGATTCTGCATCGCACTCACGTCGCTCGGGTCCCACTTTGAGAATACCGGCATCATGCGGTGGCGAGAACTCGAGCAGGAAGCGACGACGACATTTGGAGTGAGTATCAAGTTAATCCATTTTGATTGTGGCTAACTATCTACGTCATACAGGCGGTCATCTACCCCGTCCTCGACTTGCACCGGACGATGGGCCTGATCGGCTCGAAGCAGGATTTCCCGCTGTCGGACGACAAGGTTACGCAAGCATGTACGGACTGGGATGCGTTCGTACACGCGCACCACGCGAAGGAGGGCGAGAAGATATACGGTGCGGACGGCCAGGAGAGTGCCGCGCTGGACACCATCAAGGAGTACGGTACGATGAACCGGCTTCGGTCAGCGTTCCTGCGTGCGGTGCCCGACTACTCTATGTACACTCCGGAAGTCTTCGAGGCTCTGGAGATCTTGCACCAGAAGCACATCGTCGAGGACGATCCGCGCCTGCTGTACCTGCGGACGACTGACGCTTGCAAGCAGATGCGTGCGTACGGTGATGCGTTGCATGCTGCCATGGCTGACCTCCTGCCATGCGACACGGATGCGGAGATTGCGCATCGTGCAGCGGTCCTCGCGCGGATCCGGTTCGTGTACCATCCGTGGAGTGTGGAGGCGCAGGGCGCCGCGGTTGTCACGGCCGCACCGCTGATCACGCACGGCTTGATTTCGTGCCTGTTGGTTGACCGTGCGACGCACGAGTTGGGATGGATCTGGGTAAGTACATCGCTCCGTGCTCTGGTGATTGTTACTCACCGGTGTCAGCTCGCGTTCGTGCTCGAGCCGATGTCGCTGTTTGCTTGTGCGGTCGGCAACGACCTGCGCTACAAGTCGGCCGGTGCCTTGGTGGGCGCGTTGACTGCGCTTGAGCTGATGGGCGGTCTGAAGAAGCACATTGGGCCGGTGAGCGAGAGCCTGGCCGCGAAGGTCAGTGGTACACAACATACAGATCGGAGACTGTGCTCACCGGATGATGTCAGATCGTGATGTTGTCGTGGGCAAAACGGACACGGTTCATGCCGTTGCTGGCCTACTGTTACGGGAGGCTGACCGCTCAGCAGATCGAGTTCGACACCGAGTACAAGCACATACGTACCGGGATGGACAAGCCGATTGCGGCCGGTGTCACGGACATCGCCCCAGGTAGTGCGCGCGGTTCTGCTAACAAGGAACGTAAGCCGGCGGACATGGAGAAAGAGGCGGAGGACATGATCCGCCAGCTCTTTCCTTCGCTGAAGCAGGCGTTCCCGAAGGAGCCCAGCTTCCTGACGTGGGTGGTCCATCTCTGTGGCCACCGCAACGTGCTCGGTGGTCCACGGGCATCGGTCACTGCGGAAACTCCGCCTGTCGTGCTTGCCCCGAAGCCTGGACGCACGGCGGCGAAGAACAAGCCGAAGCCTGCGGCCCAAGCTCCGGTAGCGCAGGCAGGCCCGTCGCGCCCGCCGATCCGTCTACCTGACTTGACATGGGACATACCGGGCGCGTTAGTGTTTGCTCGGACGGGCGTTCCGCTGCCAAAGGAGAAAGGTTGGACGCGGAACTATGTTCCGGTCGCGCTTGCGTGCATCGCTGCGTGGGCTCACAAGACCATCATGGCCCGCGAATCGTTCTTGCTTCCGCCGATCGTCACGTACCTAAAGGACCTCACGACGCTGATGAAACAGTTCCAGACCATACCAACGCACGACGCCATCTTCTGGCCTCGCTGGTCGCTCATCGTGAAGCAGCCGGCGAACCCGGAAAACTGGCCGGAATGGTATGCGAAGGGCCGGTTGTCGGACATTGGGCGATTTCGCGGGTTGCTCACGCACCCAGCGATACGGCGACTGACGGGCTTCGGATCTGGGAAGGGACCAGTGAGTGCGGACGGGACACCGCTTGAAGGGGGCGAGCAGGAGTCGGCAGCACAGGCGGGCAAGAAAGGGAAGAAGCGAAAGGGGAAAGGTAAGGCGGCGATCAAGGCGGAGGAGGCGAGGTACAAGACGGAGGCGCTCGACTACATGGAACAGCGATCCATGCTTGGGATCAGCATGTTCTTCCCTGGAGCCGCGACGAAGCAGCCAGCCGCGAGTACGTCGGCGATCACGGTCAACAAGAAGGGCAAGCAGCCCGCGCACGCATCAAAATCCGTGCCCATCGACGTTGACGTGTTTGATGACCTGCCCGTCGCGAGCGGATCGTCGACACAGGTGGCGAGGACGAAAGAGGACGAGACCGAAGGCAATCCGGACGGCAAAACTCCGAATCCGACTGCTGTCGCGACGGCAGCGTTCCGGAAGCACGTCAAGAATGAATTCGTACCTCTGCAGAACATGCGCGCGGACATTCTGTCGATCGTGCAGCAGGTCATGACGGTGCCGCAGATGTACGGGCTGACGGTGACGGAGAACGAGCGGTACATCCTGCAGCACAGGACGCTCGATGCGCACATCATGTCGTCAGCTGTGCACCTTGCAAACGTACGTCAGAATCGTCCATCAGTGGTTATGAGACTGACCTGTGTTTGCAGACGATGATGTACAAGGCTGCACAAATGATGTACCGTGTGGAGGCCGGAGATGCTGATGCGGTGTACGAGCCGAACGACGAGCTGTACACGTTCGAACGGATCACGCTTGAGGATGTCTTGGGCGCGTGGCCTCGCAAGCTCGACGGTTTTGTCGACTCTCCAGACGAGGAGCTGTCGGGCTTGCCGAACTGGATGTTCGTCGACAGTCCGCACTCGTTCTTCATCGAGAAGGCGAGGGGTACGGCCGAGAGGATCCCAAGCGTCGCTCGCGCAGACCCTTGGGCTGAGGGCGTCTCGAAGAAGACGGGTCGTTCGCTTCCGTCTCCAAGCCAGATTGCTTGGTTGGAGCGACGGTTCAGCGAGGACGAGCCCAGCTCGGCCGGCGATGCTGAACTCGTCTCCAAGGTTGTGCGTCCTGCCAGCCGGACGGACGATGCGATGGATACCGGCAACGAGGCGGAGCCTGAGCCAGATGCTGCGGACGCGGATGTCGAGCACCTCCGCACGCAGTTCGACCAGACACGCGTGGCGGGCGGCGCGCCAGCCGACACGACGGCCGAGACGACTGGCCAGTCCGAGGACGATGCTATGGCCGGGGCCCCGGCACCGCTGCCTTCTCAGGAAGCCGGCCCTGCTACGCCTCCCGTCGGTGTCGCTGCACCGAACACGCCTGTACCGGCCGACCCGGATGTGACCATGGACGACGCGACTGCCGCCGCAAAGACCTCCAAGCGTCCTCGCCGGAGTGACGAAAGCACACGCTCGGAGACGACGGCCTCGCCTAACCGGAAGAAGAACCGTCAGGAGGACCCGCCGAAACTCGTACTCCCGACGGACGTGACGGCCGACCACGTCAAGGACGGTATGTTATCTTCATTGCTACTACCCGCACTCGCGTCGCCAGCGCGAGTGCGGGTAACGTGCCATACATTTGACACGTCACTACCCGCATTGGCGCTGTCGGCGCGAGTGCGGGTAACGTGCGTGTATTTCTACAGCAATCTACCCGCACTCGCGTCGACAGCGCGGATGCGGGTAACGTGCAGCGTATTTGACACGTCGCTACCCGCGTTGGCGCCGACGGCGCGAGTGCGGGTAGATGCATCGATATTCACTGACATTACCCGCACTCGCGCAGCCGGCGCGAGTGCGGGTTGGATCGGTATCTTTGTACCGAACATACCACTGATCTGCTACCTTCCAGTCATCGCTATGGGCCTTTTGCCACAGATCATCCGTCTCCTGTGCCTGGAACCGGTCATTCTCGAGAGCAGAAAGCCCGCCAAGGCCCAAGCCGAGTGTCCTCGCTGGGACATCCGCATCACGCTCGACGAGTTCAAGGCGATCGCGGAGCAGACGTCCAGCGAGTCCGAGTTTGCGACCTGGTTCACAGGTTCCGATCTCCTGTCGTCTTTTCCGATCGCGCCCACGTTCAATGCCGAAGACATCGAGAAGGACATTTGGTATCACGCAACGCAGATGGGCATGCTCACTGTGCGCGTGTACTACCTCCTGTTGCTCGAGGACATGATCGCGGACAACATCGCCCTCAAGGAGTCGCGTGACTACCTCGCGGAGCATACCGGTGCGTCGTTCCAGGCAATGTTGAAGCATATCACTCACATGCGTGGTACAGAGTCTCTCGCCACTCTGCTCACTAAATGGCTCGAGGATCCAGCCGTCCGACACCCCGCAGCGTCCTCGCTGTTGAACGATAGCTTTGCAACGGCCTTGCTAACGCGTTGCCGCGGACCACCGGCCACTGCGAACCCGAGCACGGACCCAAGCGGTGTGACCTCCGGTGCACCGGCTCAGGACGAGAGCGAGCCCGTTCAGCAAACACTCGACATGGACGGTGATGAGCCGATGCGACCCGTCGAAGAGGTACGTGATCTGATCTCTGTGTAGAACCGGTCAATCTCACGACGTATCGTTCTCAGCAACAACTTGCTGGCCCCCGTCGCTCGACTCGATTGACCGGAGCTGGTGCTGGCAAAACGGCAGCCTCCCGGTCAGTCACCTCGGAACCTCAGCCGCACGCGAGCACTTCCGGCGGTACCCGTGGACCGTCTCTTCCGCCGGTACCCCAGCCTCGCGGTCGCGGTGGACCTGGAAATCGTCGTGCTCGTGGTCAACCACGGCCTCGCGGTCAGCAAGGGCGTGGCAGTCAACCGCCCGATACGAGCGACGACGCTATCATCCAGGGTGGCCTCCCTGGTCAGTCGCTCTGATCGTCGCACGCGCGTGTCCTTGGTACGTTCGCTCCGTCTTCTGTACGTCGTGTCCTGTTGTGTCTGTGCTGGTGTACTGTGTCGTTCGTTCTCCCCTCTCGTTGTTCGTGCTGACCGTCATTGCTTGGCGACTCGTGTTGTGAGTCCGCTTTCATTCGTTTGTCGCACCTACTCACGCGCATGCAGCAACCACGCAGCACTTGTACAATGTACTCATAAATATCCTCGGTACGTCCTTGTGTCACGTGGCTGCACGTGATCCTTTTGCTGACTTGGTTTCAGTAGCATCTCTTCTCGTGTACAGTGCCGCCATCTATGCCTCTCACGTCGTTCCCCGCTCGCTGTGGCCCTTCATGTACAATACTCTGCTGTGACTCTGTGATGACATTTTATGACGCTGATCTCGCCGAGTCCGTGTGTGTGCCTCAAAGTGGAGAATCCCTGTTCGTGTTGGCATGACAACGTGGCCAAGTTGACTTTGCTCATGTCACGCCAGTTTACAACAGTGAGTGCCATGTGCAACGCGCGGATCGGGTTGATCACTGTTATGTCCAGTTGAGAGGTCGAGGCACGAGGATGACCAAGAGCAAGCGAGCGCACGACGAATTCATGAACAAAGAAGGGCGCGAGCCCCAGACACTGCGATTGGCAAGACAAGGGAATACATCCCAGAGAGCGCGAGTACGGGATAGGCCAGGACATTTCTGGTAAGTCCCTAACAACATGTCCGTTGTCCCTAGCTATCTCATCGGTCAAGTCCTAGATAGTCCGTGACACATTGTATCGCGTCCCTAAGTGGGCTTGTGTAACGTGGCCGTTACACGATGCAAACACATCTCGCAACAGATAAGTAATCCCGTCATGAAGCACGCACCGTTATTACAGCTGTTTCCAAAAGATAGGCCCCTCATCAAAAATGCGTACACGGGCGGAGAGCGTCGGATCTTGCCTTCAAGGTGATCCACACCTTCTGCTGGTCGACCTCAGCCACCCGCCGTAGTCTGGCTCGCCCTCGACGTGCCGGTTATGGTCCAATCTTGATGGGAATAGGGAGACCGACACACTCCGCCTGAGTGCGGTTTCTTGATGTGGGGCCCATCGTTTTGGAAACAGCTGTAATCATTCACCAACAGCACAGGCGATGCGATTGAACTTGCAAAAGAGCAACTCTGCGGAGGTATGATAAACGGTGACTAACCAGAGCAACAGCAACAAGAGCGGTTGGGAACACGCACAAAAATGACTAAGTCACAGTGACAACATCATGTATATCTACAGTGGTAATCAACGTACAAGAGCACACACCGGCCAAGGGAGGATGAACGGTCCAAATGGAACAAACTGGGTATGTGTATCGATTGACCATTCTGTTCGCTCAAACGCAGAGCGGTCAAACAAATGTGGGGCATCGGACGTGGTTCGCCATTGCTGAACTTAACTGGTCAAGTGCGGAGACAATGCTAAGTCCCTCATTCTCTGACTTCAGCCCAAAACACGTCGGATTCCGCCATCCGCGGGCTGCGGTTTCGGGGACTTGTGAACTGCCCGAGGGTGCTGCGGCGGCATGACCATTTGTAGCAGCTCGATCGGCTTGGAGTGTTTCAGCGCAACACGCGCTGATCAAGAAGGTGCGGTTGCATCTCACAGCCACAGTGCGTCGCCTAATTTGGTGTCCCTCCGCCCGAAGAGTCGTTGCACAAGCTCACAGCCGGAAATGTTATTCCAGGCTCATCCCGCCGCTGTTGCGACGCGACCCTGTCTCGAATTTGATGGCATTTGTCTCCGCTCACCCTAGACCGTGCCCATCCTTCTCACTGTCCGTTTCTCTCTCTCTCTCTCTCTCTCCCCCGTCCTTCCTTCCTTGAGTCTGCGTGTGTGTTGCCCTCCCCTTGTCGCCCGCTGCTGTCCCTGTTGCCCGCCTGCCAGCAACGATGCCCCGGAGCGATGACGCACCACAGGAAGACCGGTCTGCTCCGTTGGACCCGCGCGACGCACCGCTGGCCCTTCCTGCAAATGGGAACAGGGACTTTTACGAGTTGTGCGTAGTCCTACAAATCTGACCGTTGTGCTAGTATGCTAAGGGCGTGGCAGCGGTGACGAGGACCCGGGGGACGAAGACCAACTGACAGAAGCTCACCAGAGGGTCATTGATGCTGCCATGTGAGTTACTGTCCGTCGTCATCGTCAACTGCTGTGACTCACCGTTTCAAATTGATGCAGAGACCACGAAGAGCTCGACCGTGCGCTCACTGGCTTGGACGAGCCTTTCAATCTGGACAACGTGCCGATGAGCCTCACCACTGACGAACCGATGAGCCAGGATGATGTGGGTCGTCACACGTTTGAGGCGCACACTGCGGCGGTGGACCGAAATGAGACAGAGCGGGTGTGGACGAATATGAAGCAGCGGCGGATCAAGCTGTCCGAACTCAAGCGCATGAGCGAGGGGGTCAACCGTCGGACGATCAAGGAGGCGGTGTCGCTGCTGAAGACGAGGACGAAGGTGGAGGTGGACGACAACATGATCATCGAGCCGGACGATCCGCGCCTGCACTGGCGAGGTGGCCCGCACTACCTTGACTTTGTGATGTACGTACCTCGCACGCAGGGTCTTCCGGTCGCATTATAGTGACTTTCGATAAACATGGCAGGCTTAGGGTGGGGTTATGGTGCCCGATACAGTAATTACTATATATGGGCATAACCATATAAGGAAAGTGTTGACATTTCTCCCCTGTGTGTATGGTGCATGTGCACAAAAACATGCCTCCAAGGTGATCGCGCGCGGTCGCGCGCGATCACCTAAACCCTATGCTGGAGGTGTCTTGACAAGGTACCCTCAAGGTGATCGCGCGCGATCACCTAAACACTACTATTGTGTACCCGGTATACATGCAATTTAGGTGATCGTGCGCGATCGCGCGCGATCACCTTGACGCACCTATATCGGCGTCTATTTGAGTGGACCTGTACTGCACATGCCAGTTCAAATTGTGCCATTTAGGTGATCGCGCGCGACCACGCGCGATCACCTTGAGAGCGGTGTTTGGACACGACTGACCGGGGTGCGTGCACATATGATGGTCAAGGTGATCGCGCGCGATCGCGCGCGATCACCTAAATGGTATGTAGACCAGCGTCTATTCTCTCGACGTGCAACATGTATGTCCACTCAAGAGATGCCATTTAGGTGATCGCGCGCGATAGCGCGCGATCACCTTGTGAGTGGTGTTTGGACGTGCATGACATGGTGCGCGCACCCCAGACCCATGGTCAAGGTGTGAACGTGCACGACCGCGCGCGTCCACCTTGTCACGTGCAATATTATTTGACACATGTGACTGGTGTGGCTGCACGATGGCGTGACCAGTCCCTTCCCTTCGATCCTCAGGCCATCAGTGTGTGCCAGGTACGTTGTCTCTCCCACCATGTCCCCGCCCGCAGCACTCAGTGCTAGCGCAGCACACCAGTCGCCATGGACCGTCCAGCATGGTCTGACCGCATTCGGGTGATCCTCGAGGCTGCCGCGCTCATCCGACTGATCCCCAAACACACAGAGAAGTTCCTACAGGAACTCACTCCCATCGGTTCAGCATATGGCCCGCTCACCATTAATGAGACCTATCAAAGATGGCACGAGCACATGAAGGACTGGCTCCGTATCATACACGTCCGCACGATCACCGACCCACAACCCCTGAACATGCTCTTTGTCCGCTCAGAGATTGATCGACTCGAATCGGTCATGATCGCATTGGCCAACGTCATCACCCCCTTGTACAGGAACTGGAGCGTCCGCACATTGCCCGAATCATTGCGCATCCACACTCATGATCGTGATGAATGGACGCACATCGCGCGGTCCACTATCAGTCTCATGCACTTGGTGAGGGAGACTGTTGATTACTGGCACAGTATGTTCTCTGCATCGCAATTAGTCTATTCAGCATACTGACTCATCACACAGAAATCCTGGACAAGAATTATGGCATGTACCATGCCACTGTTACATCAGTACTACAGCCACTCACCTTACATTGGTACAGTCGATGCAGGCATAGTCTGGCAGGATCCACCGATCAAGCGGATCCTGTACGACCATCATCCAAACACGCCATTGACCTCGATACCGCCGCGAAAGAGCGCAACGCACTTGTTGGTTATTCCGGGCGGTTTGTGGACCCATGCCCTCAGTGGTTTGTCCCCTATGGCACATCAACTGCACAAACGAGTACGAGTTCTTTGAGCGCATCTGCGCGCACATTGCTCTTCTTCTCCAAGAGCGGCAATTGCGCATTGATCGTGAAATCGAATTCGATGAAGAAATTGACGTTTGGGTTGACCGCTGGCTCGGTCATCTTCGCGCACTACTACCCATGATCCACGGTGCGCGCACCCCTCTCTCTATCTAGTATTATGGGACCTATCTGAAAAGTTGCAGAGAAACTCCATATCCGCTGTGAGCGCCCGCCACCCATCTGGCTCGAAATCGATCTCCCAAGGGATAGAGCGATTCCGGACGCTCCATACACGCTCCCCATCGGGCAACTTACATCGCTCTTTGCGCACCCCGAGGAGATTGAATTTTGGGACAAGCAATCTGGGTCGCAGAAGCCTGTCGCGATGCCCGAGCCACCTGGTGTTGTCCGTGACAGCATTGCTCAACGGGTATGGCGTGCGCGCCAGGCCCTTCACTGTCAGCACGTATATCTCCGTCTACAGTCGGAGCGTGTGACATTGAACGGGGTCAATGACCACACATACCGGGGAGGTGGGCCGTCACCCGAGGATGTCTCGAAGAGCGTCGACATTCTCACGAGACGCCTTGCGTGGTTCAATGCGCAGGTCGAATTTTACCAGCAGTGGTAAGCAAATTGCATTCTCAATGTTGAACACCCAGTAATATGCTCTCAGATGGTCAGTCATGTAGTTATGTTTGTATATCCTTTGCAATGCGTGCAGAACGGTCTTACTCACGGTCGGACACACTCATGCGGCCAGAGGTAAGTCTCACAAAGGTGCCCGCACCAAACTCGGTGAGTGCCACATGCTATCGCGCACGGTCATAAACACTGCACGCACGGTCAAAAACACCGCGCGCACGGTCAAAAACACCGCGCGCACGGCAATCAACAATGCGCGCACTGTTACCTAGAGCGCAGGCCAAACACTTGAGCGTTCACGGCGCATACGGTCAGATGACCAGTGGTCGGCGCGTCGCGTCGGTCGACTTAGCGCCGTGGCCTGTGGCTGAGACTTAGACGCCGTTGTGGCTGCTCGCTCTCGCTCGCGCACATCTCCCTCTCTCACTCACACTCGTCGCACTCCCTCTCCCCCCTGCTTCTACCACTAAACCCCGCTCTTCTTCCACACTCTGCAACAATGGTCGGCACCTGGGGCATCGAAAGGTGAGCAACTACCTGCGCAAGGTCGCCCTCGAAGCCGGACACCATCTCAGCGAGCGCGACGTGTTTGTCTTCACGGACCACCCGCCGCGATGGGACGACTGGACGGAGGAGGACCTGATCCTCTTCAACAGGATGCTCCGGGCGCTGTACAACAGCCCGGTGTCCTTCAAGGTTTTGAGATGATCGTCGCGACGTACCTGCTGGTGAGTACCATGTTCTGTGGGATGCGAGCTGGGGATTGACGTGCGGTCCCAGACGAGGGTGGCGCGAGGAGATGAACTACATACCGATGGCGAAGAAGTTCCCCCCTCACCGACATTGCTTCGATTGGCAGTGGTGGGACGCGCCGGCGGAGGGCGCGTGGAAGGAGGGTCTTGACTTCAAGACGTTCGCAACCGGCTGGCGCAACCTGAAGCCCAAGTGGTGGGGCAAGAGTGGTCGGCCGTGGACCAGGAGGCGCCATGAGGCCGTTTGCGGAAATCTGGCTCAGTAAGTTCTTCGTGTCTACGTGCGCGCACCTGTGTCTGACTGCGCGCACCCCATCTCAGGCAACGACCGGCTCAACCGTAAGTGTTTGCGCACTTACACGAGTCGTCTGACAAGCACGCACCTCTGCAGCTGCAACCCCGGTCCAAGACCGCGAGACGAGGACGATCCGCACAGTGAAGGATACGAGATCAACGTGGGGCGTGTGACCGGCGAGGACTGCAGGAAGGCGCAGCGCCAGGCCGAGATCTACCTCGCCTGGAAGGCGAAGGGCCGTGCGCCCGCCGCGATGGCGCACCCAATCCCTCTGTCCACATGGGCGCGTCCTCTCAATGTCCCGCCGCAGTCGCAGGATACGGTGGTAAGTGCAATCGTATATTACCCGCTGACAATGATCTGATGCGCACACCACAGAACTGCGGCCGCGACCGGTGCGAGCGCTGCACTGAGAGCGGCATGGAGGAATGCCGGGTTCCGGCCGTCGCAAACGACCCGCGCTGCGTCACTTGTCGTGCACGCAAGAAGGGTTGCTCCTTCGGAGTGAGTGCACATTGTTCCTTGGCATTCGTACGGTGCACTGATCACTTCTAGTCTCCTCTCACACACGCTGCCTCGCGCCGCACTGCGAGTGCAACGGTGGTGCGCGCACCTTCCAACCGTGCGCGCACCCGCACCCCGGCCAGTTCTGGAGGTGCAAGGGCAGGTGCGCAGACGTGCACTGACTGCGGGCTAACGCTAACGACCTTGTGGCATAGGTATGAAGCGTCGCCGCGGAGAATAGGAGGCAGACCTTCTGTAGAGGGTCGTGGAAGTGTATCATTACATTAAAGTTGTATATAAACGCGTGTAACTGCTACTGTACATAGTTGATTGTCCGCACCCAGGGTGGACGTGCGTGGTCGCGCGCGTCCACCCTACAGCTGTACCTCTCACGAACAGTCTGTTAAAGGTGAGTCCAAACCCCCAATTTAGGTGATCGCGCGCGACCGCGCGCGATCACCTTATACCCTCCTTTGTGGGTGTCTAAACAAGGGGATAACCTACCCATTTACCTGCCAAATAGGTGATCGCGCGCGGTCGCGCGCGATCACCCTCCAGACGTGTTCCCGCACAGGTATATGGGGCGCGCGCACCTCTCAAATACGCATCTGACACCCACGAAACCCCCTGTTTTAGGTGATCGCGCGCTACCACGCGCGATCACCTAAAACAGCCTATTTTCAGAGTATAGTAGGGTGCGCGCACATCTGACGCACCCACCAAAGGTACGTGCACCCACACACCCCTCAAAACCCTTGATTTAGGTGATCGCGCGCGGTCGCGCGCGATCACCTTTTTGGCAGGTAAATAGTATGATTTATATCCCTCATTTTAACCACGAAAAAGGGCGTATAAGGTGATCGCGCGCGACCGCGCGCGATCACCTAAATCAAGGGTAAATTGCCTCTACAGTCACAGTCGACGTACGCATCTGCGAGTGTCTCCTATGACAGTCTGTATATGTCCTCGATGACGACATATACTGCTATCACAGGTGATCGCGCGCGGTCGCGCACGTTCACCTAAATGTAGGGGTGGGGTGCGTGCAGCCTGGCACCCACCATTGGTATTCCTAGGTGGGCTCGTATGTCATGTTTTATCCTACGCTAATCATTGTATGCATAGTGTACACACATGTTTTATGTGCGCACATTGTACGCACCTATTCCGCTGCACATCAGGTGACAAGACCGACCATGTGGCAAACATGAGGCATCCTCAACCTATCTCTGCACACACGACGCCTCTCTCCCCCTTGCACTTGCACCCCGTCCTCACTGTACGTATTTCACCGCTCTCTGTCCAGCGCCCGTCTCACCTGCACCCTCAGATCAACATGCCGCCTAGAAAGAGGAAAACGACCAAGAAGCAGTCTGTCGAGGCTGCGCCGGCTGAGGATTCTGAGGCTGATGGTTTGTCGGAGCCCGAAGAGACGGCACAACCGCCCGTATCGACGTCGACGCGCGCTCGTGGAAAACAGCCAGCAGAGGACGAGAGTTCGGAAGACGAGGAGACGAACAAGGTGCGTTCCACAACGAGTGCGACGGCATGCACAGCGCCGGCCGATTGCTGATCCTCATGCTCAGAACCAGAACATCACGCAGGAACTATTTCTAGAGTATCAAAAGACTCTCGCAGATGCGTACCACGGTTACGCGCGGCTCGCAACCCTCCCATCTCTGCAACAAGAGGACCATGTCGAAGTGGTGCAGCAGCAGTTCAACAGCCGCAAGATCGACGACAACCACGTCGAGAAGATCCGCAAGTCGTTCGTGGATGACGGATACCAGAGCCTCCTGTGCGGGCACTGCATCGAAGTTGCGGTCAGGTGGGACGACATCGATTTCACAACCAAGCACAACCAGATGCTTCCTCTCGACCTCGATTTCTTGAAGTTGAAGCCTCGACCTGACGGATCGCCCAGTCCGGTGTACGTCATTACCGGACAACATCGCATCGCTGCGAGCATCGCCTTCCTCGAGCCACAGGTAACCGAGTTGGAGACGGCGAAGGCGCGTTTGGAGAACATGGATCCCAGCAATGGTCAGTACAATCGGCTGGTAGCGCGGTGTCAGAGACTAGGGGATCGGCTTCGCCGGCAGGGGTGCTGGCTGGCAAGAGTATCCATCATGGGTAAGTGTGTGCGCGCACCCCTTGCGCACACCCACTCACACTTTGACACACACACACAGAAAAACTTGGTAACGGTGCGGCGGCGGAACGGCTCGCGCAGAACATCGGCTGGGCTCACAAGGTCGAGACCAGTGAGGATCTCTTGCGGACGCACTTCCGTGAGCTGTTCAAGTTGAAGCGTGATGGCCGCCTCCCCGACTACTTGGCCCGCCGCGGATCCGTGGTGAAGGAGCTACGCTTAGGCACGGCGACGACGACAACGAAGGGCACTGCTGCCACTGGCAGTCACATCAAAACGATGCACACGAACATGTTCTACGTCACGCCGGTGTGCGACTTCCTCATGTCGCTGACACCGATCATTGGCGAAATGAAAGAGGAGAGAAAGGTACAGTATTATTATGACACTGACTTTTTCAGCCACCAGACATGGATGAAGATCCTGAAGCCGGCCGGCGGGGTGAGTGTATTCATTGTCACGCTCGGCTGTCGGTTGTTCATGATGGTGCGCGCAGGTCATTGTATTCAATCTGCGGCGCATGCGCTGGCTGATGGACATCGTCAGCTCAAAGGCTTCGTTCTCCACCACGCAGGATGTGGAGTCGATATGTTCGCGGTACGATGAGGCCCGGCGCGCACGTCACAGATACTTGGAGATGAAGACGAACGGCGACACCGAGCGGGCCCAGGAGTTTCTCCAGGCGCAGACGAACCTGGATCTGTTGGAAGAACCCGATGGGACCATACCGTCGATCATCTCACGAAAGTACACGGCGTTGAAACGCGAGTTTCACACAGGGGGTGCGAAGCCCTGTCCTGGCCTTTGGACAGATGGCATGCTCAGGACTGTCGACCGTGCGGCGCTTGATGTTCTTTCCAGTTCAAATGTTTTGGGCGTGCGCTCGAGGCAGGCTTTTGACACGATGGCCGAGTACGGTAACGCGCTGGTGGCGCAGATCCAACTCATGATGGGGTCATCCGTCCCTGGTGCCGACGACGACGACAACGACAACGAGGGGCCACGCAGCACGCAGCAGCGGCGCCTGTCGCACCTGGACTATGTCATGGGGCGCATCACGTTCTTGTACTACGGCTGGACGTACATCAAGGGCGACATGGAGTTTATCCCTGCTCTGCCGTTGCTGACCGCGACGCCGATGCGGATGGTCCGGGAACAATGCTCATTGTACGAGCGGGGATGGGAGAGGGTGAGTGCGCGCACACTGCTGCGTGACCTGCGCGCACCCCTATATGTGTGCTTACTTTTCTTTTATAGCTTGCGTGGATGTTCGAGCCGCTCATGTATCATCGGTCCTTCTGTGGGACCAGCGGCGCCGGCACCGGCACGGGCATAACCACTCACGACATCACCGTGGATGCGACCGTCTGCGCGCTCTATAGTGTTGGCAACTACAAAGATCTCAAGTCTGGCGCAGGCGACTGGGACCGTCCGGACAGTGTGCAGTGGGAGGTGAGTTGAACTTGTGGATGGTGCATCTCGAGGCTGAGTTATTTGCCTGCAGCTCGCGCGAGAATGGTTCGCCGATCGACACACGTTTGTCGCACTGCTGCACGAAGCGTCGACGGAAGTAGCGGCCGTCAACAACTTCCGCAGACACTCAAAGAAGACGATCAGAGAGGCGTTCATTGTGTACTCGGAGAAGAGCAAGGGCAACCCCGCTGAGCGCACGGCAGAGGCGGTGAGCATGATGAAGGAGTCTGCGCTGAACGAGTTGTTCCCGGACTTTGACATGGCCAAGCACATCCAGGCGTGCACGCAGAACACCAAGTCTCTGTCGAACGCGATTGTCAATCAACGGAGCGATGCACTCCAGCACCTGTCCGGTCTCTCGCTAGACATGCTCGGCATGCGCGCACTCATGCGCACTGCGCTGCCAGTCGTCGAGGGTGCAAACACCACAGTCAAGGTTGGTGCTCGCTCGCTCGTCCCTGTCCTCGCTGCAGCGACGGTGGAGACGGCGGCAGTCCTGCTGATGTACGGGCGCGGAGGTAGCTGGTGGACACTGGGAATTGCTCAGGGCCGAGCGAGGTACGCAGCCCTCCTGTGCCGCTTCAAGGTCATTCCGGTCCACGAGTGGTGGGACATTGTGAGGCCGGACAAATCGTGGAAGCCGTCAGAGGATGGGACCGGTGCGCACGCGGACCCGGAGTGGTTCACCAAGGGCGAACCGTCGACCACGGAGCAGAACGCTGCGAGTCTCATTGCAAACTCTGAATTGCAGCGTGCGTTCGCGGGCAAAATCCCTGCACCTGGACAAGGTCGTCAACCACAGCAGCAGCAGCAGCAGCAGGCAAACCGGTCGCCGGCCCATCGTCGTCGCCGTTCACCTTGAACGCGCCGGTGCCAGCACCAGGTGCGGTGGCCGCACCTGCAACAGGACGGGCTGGGAAGGCTTCTGCGATGGCCACCGCGGTCTCGCATCACAACACGCAGATCGCGAGGATACTCGAGTCGCTCCGCAAGCTGCCTGCGTTCCAGTACAGCGACTCCACGGACGGTGCCGTCAAGGGCAAGAAGATGGGCGAGTCGCTTGACCAGATGGCGAAGGGGACGATGCTTCACCTGTGGAACGTACGTTGCTTAATTATTAATGCTGTGTGCAACACTGACGTGTGCGCGCACCCCCAGACGAGCGAGTTTTTGCGGCATCGTATGACGGAGCGGGCGAACCCCAAGCGTGTTCGACGGGATGAACAAAGCGATGACGAGGAAGACGACCGCAAAGATCAGATGTACGCATGGACACCGCTTCCTACCACCAGCGATCGGCCAGGCACGGTTGACCCGCTCGCGTATTACCCGTTCTGGGCCGACGTTTCGGCGGCGATGGATCAGGATCCGCCACTCACGACGACGATGGAAGACGTCGAGGATGTGCTGATGACGGCGCTGGGGTTCGATGTTGACATCCAACCGACGCTGACAAGGACCGGGTCACGCGGCGGCTGACGAAACAGTATGCGACGCGCCAAGATTTGTTCAAGCAGGTTCTCAAGCGTCCGCTGGCGTACATAGAAGACATGGACCATGAGGTCCAGTCGCGCATGAACGAGAGAGTCGAGGCCTTGCTGCCTGCCCTCGTCAAGCATGTGCGTGACCAGCCTTCTAGCACGCGTAACAAGGATGTCGTGCAGTCGCTGCTCCAGATGCTCGTGGACGAAGGGCATCTAACGCACACCGAGTGGGAGCCCACAGACGACGATGAGGATGTCGAGAAGAAGGCGACCAAGGGTGCGCGCACCCACGACGACGAGCAGGAGGAAGATGAGGTGCCCCAAGCCTTGACTGACGGCGGCGACGACGATGCGATGCAGGTGGACGCCGAGCTCCCAGTGGTAGTAGAGGAGGAAGAAGAGGTCGACAACGGCGCGACGGTGACCCACAGCATGCTGGCTTCGCATCTTGGGTTGGCAGGCCGGCAGACGCAGTCACCCCCGCCGCTGAACCAGAGGAGCAAGCGGAGGCTGACGTCTCCGATGGTGAGTCCGAAACGGGCGCGGGAGAGCAAGCGTGCAAAGGTCGACGAGCGCGCGCACGTCTACCAGAGTGCACAGGCCATGGCCGTCGACGTCATCGGGTTCCTTGATCACTGCCTTGCGGGAGCCGAGCTGGATGAGGATACGCTGACACGGCCCTACCAGATCGCCCTGTTGCGTTTTCTCGGCATCTATCCACTGCCTGGCATGTTGGAAAACGAACCTCTCCTTGTCCAGGTTGCTGATGCCAACCTGCGCGTGCTGCACTGTGAAGCCGTCGTTATCGCCCTGTCCTTCTTACTGGAACTGGAGATACTGGAACTGCCGGGCAAGTCCATCCCGATCTTTGCGAAACCCACACCGTACCACCAGTATGTGATCTCGCAGATCCTGCGCGTATGTATAGGGATGGCCTACTTCGCCGGCACGGAACGCATCAGTAAGTCTGCTCAAAAGGGTCAAAATAGGTGATCGCGCGCTATAGCGCGCGATCACCTAAATCGTGCTATTTTAGGCACTGCGCACCCTTGTGCGGGGTGCGCGCACCCGCTGGTGTCAGAAAACACGGGTTTTAGGTGATCGCGCGCTATAGCGCGCGATCACCTAAAATGGCATGTTTCAACGTGTCCCACGTGTCATAAATAGGGTGATTTTGGTGATCGCGCGCTATAGCGCGCGATCACCTAAACCCCGTCTTTTGAGTGCCAGTCATGTACCATTTGCAGGGTGATCGCACGCGACCACCTATTATTTGAGCACTCTGCTGACATGCATTTCAGACTTCCTCAACGAGAACGGCGGTGAGTGCGATGCATGTTTGTAGGGCGAGTCGGCGCATACTCATCATTGTACAGAGGTGACGGGCAGTTACCACTTCCCGGCCGTGTACATCATCCACGGCATGTGGCCTCCTATGTCAGCCCCGTCAAACAAGCACGTGAAATCGCGCACACCGGTGCAGGCCCGTCGGGATCTTCAGCGATACTTCGGCGAGGGCAGCAATACCCAACTGACTGTGGACGTCGCGACGTACGAGGTGAGCGAGGAGGAGATCAAAGATTTGGGGAGGGGTACAGAGACAGGGTTCTGGCGCGCCATCCTCGGCTATGCGTACCTCGCTCGCGATCGCGCATGCTTCGTGGCCGACAAGAACGTCCTCAATCTGAAACTGCCCGAGTTCCATGATGCGGTCATTGTTGGCATACTTGGTGCGTGAGTCTGGCGTCTCGTTATACTCTTCTCATTCTCGCAACACAGCACGCATACGGCACGCTGCGGGAAACACTGGCGCATCTATTGTGGAGGTGATCGACATCTCGAGACTGATGACCTTGTGTCATATCTCGTACGCAGAGTCCCAGTCGTCACCGCCACCGTCTCTGGCATCTGTGTGGTCGCCACCCCCATCACAGATCGGATCCGAAAACGCGGTAACGTTCGATGAGCGGGCGTCACTGTACGGATTCCCGGAGGAGGTTGAACACTGGGACGAGCAGGACAAGCTCCCGTTCCCGAAACCGCCAGAGAAGCCTCATTGGTTGCAGCCAGGTACGGACGACTTTGGCGACTGGGCGTCGCGACAGTTACAGCACAGCAAGATCCGCCGTCTGCGCCTGCAGGACCTCCTGGAGAAGGTAGACGACCGGTCGTCATTCATGCGCGACGGGCAGCTGTCGAAGCAATACCCGAATACCAGTCCAGTGGCGATCGACTCTCTCAAGTTTTCCATCAAACGGTACAAGCAAATTGAGAAGACGTACGCAGGTACGTGTTTTTCGTGTCTTGCGGTACTGGACGGTGTTCTGACGAGTGCGCCGGCTTACTAGCGATGATCCAGAAGACTATCGCGCTCCAGGAGTCCGAGCGTATCACGGAGGCCCTGGCCAACGTTGGTGGAGAGCCGACTGACACCGTGGACGAGGTCGAGCGTGAACCGGAGGCGAGCCAGCCGGCCCTGAGCAAGGCGGCCGGCAAGCGTCCCGCTGCTGGCAATGTGCCGGCACCAGCTCCGGCGACGCGCAGCCTACGGAACCGCCAGCAGTCGTCCTCCCGTGCTTCGAGCACGAGCAGCAGTCGGGCCGCAACGCCTGGCTCGGTTCCCAAGTCGAAGCTGCGATCCACGTCAGCTGCGTCCAGTGGCTCGTCCGGCAGTGCCAGCACGCGCCAGAGGCTGAATACACCCCGCGCTGCCAGCGGCAGTGCGGCTCGCCCTGGTCCATCAACTCGTGCCCGCGACAGTGGCGCTCCGAAGGACGTGTTCAGCGACGTCAACACGCAAACTCGGATGTGATCGGTCAGCACAACGGGTCTCCATTCTTTGTACTACTACCTATGTCTCTCTAACCTCGCTGCTCACACACGTCTTGCCGCCGTCGACGCATCGTCTTGTATTACATATCGCACCACTTGAATGACATGCATGATTTCATGATACTGGGTGCGCGCACAGGGAGAGCTGCGACGTCGCACGCAATGCGGCTTCTTCGTGCCGGCCGGTGAGTGCTATTCCTGATTGAGCAGCGGCGAGGCCGATGTGCGCGCACAGCTTTGTGCACGATTCCGTTCGAGAGCGTTCTCGCCCAGCATGCGTGCGTACACGAGGCGGGTCATGTTTCAAACGGTGAGACGTATATAATGTGAGTCGACTACTGCTCCGTGCTGCCAAGGCTGACTGCCACTATCATTCATCATGGCCTCTCGTCGTCCACCCCCTCCGTCAGCGAGCTCCCGGCGGGCAACGCCTGCGTCGTCACAGCCGCAGAGACGACGAGGGAGTGCTGCACCTTCTGCACGGGGTGCCTCGTCACGGCGCAGTGTGCGTCCCTCTGCTGGACCGTCTGAGCCCGTTGCCGTTCCATCCTCGCCGCCCATCGCCGGTCCCTCAAGGTCATTTGATTTTCCGGCATGGCCCATTGCTGGTCCATCCTGGCAGTCGGCTGGGCCTTCTCGTCCGTCGGCCGGTCCATCTCGTCCGATCGCTGGTCCGTCTCGTTTATCAGGCGGTCCATCTCGTCCATCCGCTGGTCCATCTCGTCCATCTGCTGGTCCGTCACACCCGGCCACAGGATCACGCGCGAGTTCGACGGTGGCAGCTTCAAGAGCGCCGGCTGGTGCTGGACCGTTGCGGGCACCGTCACAGGCAGCGTCGCGGGCTCCATCACGGGTAGCTTCACGGGCACCATCGCGGGTGGCATCGCGGGCACCGTCGCGGGTTGCGTCGCAGGCACCGTCACGGGTAGCGTCGCAGGCTGGAACTGACGGTGATCAGTCCGGTCCCGAGGACAGGTGCGTTTTAAATACTTCTCTTGCACCTCGGACGCCGCTAACGGTCAAGTGCAGCGATGATGATGTGGCCATCATCGTCAACCCGGTCCCTCCGGCAGACATGGATCCACACGAGGTCCTGTTGCACCTCGCGAGCACTGACGACATGAATGAGTAAGTGCAGCCTGGTCAGTCTGATGAGTGGTTGCGTACGGCTGACGGATGACTGCACACGGGCAGACGTGCGCGCGAAGAGCTGTCGTCCACGCTGGAAGGTAACACGGGCCCGTTCAGTCTGGATGCGCTTCCGGATAGCATTGCGGCGGAGGATGGCTCGGCGAGTCAGGATGATGTCAGGCAAGGTATCCGTACGCGCGAGGCCCTGAGTCAACAGATGGACGGCACGTTCCGTCCTGCGAGCTGGGAGGAGAACAAGTGGCGAGAATGCCCACGGCAGACGGTGAAGGTGTCGACGCTGCGCAAGTTCCAGGAGCACAACACACCACGGAACAGGCAGTTCGCGACGAACCTCCTGAAGAAGCGCACGGTGGTGAAGGTAGACGACGAGTACATCATCCCGAACTCTGATCCGTCGCTGTACTGGCACATTGACCATCACTTCCTCGATTTCCTGTCCTGCGTCCCCGGGAAGCAAGGGATGGCGGTGTGTCTGCCGACGGTGCCTGCGCACCACAACTACAGTGTCAAACTCGAGCTGCGCCAGGGTTATAAGATACTGCGGATGACGAAGCACGGCAAGCTCGGTTGCGACCCGTCGGGCCGGTGCGTGATGTTTGGTAAATACGGCATTGAGGAGCTGTGGGGGGTGTTCGTCCCCGTGTCCTTCTTTGACGACGAGGTTGGCGAGAGCGACAGCGAGGCGCCCCTTCCGCTGTCCGCATATGGCATCAAAAAGGGCAACACTCGTCTGTCTCCGGAGCACTTCAAAGTCTGGCAGCTCTTTGTCTGCCGTCTCCTCGAGAGCATCGGCTGGAGCGGCCTGACGATCCTCCGAAACTATCCGTTTGGCAAGTCGCAGGATCTGCGCGCGGGGTGGGACATCCAAGACATTTGTAACGTATTGTGAGTCGCGAAAACAGTCGAAATAGGTGATCGCGCGCGATCGCGCGCGATCGCGCGCGATCGCGCGCGATCGCGCGCGATCACCTAAATTGGCCCTTTTTCAAACGACGTGCACTCACCCCCTCGAACTTCTTAGCGAGCACGCCAGCATCGATTTGAACCTGAAGAACGTGCAGGAGATCGACGACATCTTCGCGGACGAGTGGTCGAAGTTCGTCGAGGAGATGCCAGTGGCGTGGAAGGCTGACAAGTTCTTCGTACATCACAAGCCCATCGTCATCTCGTGCCGCTATGGGCAGAACACGCCGATCGGCGTCCAATACCAGCTCCACCACGAGGCGGGTCAGTGGGACCAGATGCGCACCTGGTCCCACTTGAAGTACGTGAGCATGGCGATCGCCTCCGAGATCCAGTAAGTACACCATCATTATTACATCCGCTGCGCACAGCTGACATGGGTGCGCGCACCCTTAGAGTACACCAGGTCGAGGAGTACGAGGTCGTGTCGAACGACGCGTTGATCAGGAAGTATGAAGCGCTGTACGAGCACTACATTCCCGGCAAGGACAACCCGCCCGTCGACCTGGACACGTTCCCCATCTTCGACGAGAACGGCATGGAGATCCCGCTCTACGACAAGAAAGGGGCCCTGGTGTCGCGCAGGCGTGTGGACACGTACAACCTCACAGGCCCTGGCTGCGGCCTGCTCCTCGATCTCCGGCGGATCCACGAGATGTTCAGCGTGTCAAACGACGACGGAGAGGGTACGGCACGACTGCAACATGAAGAGAGACAGCGTCGCCGAGAGCGTCGTGCAGCCGCAGCCTTCGCCGGTCAGGACACCGGCCCCATCTTTGACGAGGAGCAGGAGTTGGTGCAGCAGGATGATGGTGATGAGCCTGCGTCACCGTCCGGCGACACCGTTTCCGCTGCTGCTGAGCAGGATGAGCTGGATGCCGCGATGTTCAGGCTAACACCGAGCCCGGTCCTAGGCAGCATCTGGGATCCCTTGACACCGCCACCGCAGTCGTCTGACCCCGGCGACGGCAGCGACGTTGCTGCTCCGTTTGACTGGGATGGGCTTGGAGACCAGGATGATGGCGATTTGGACGATGGCACTGGCAAGGAGGAGGAGCCTGAGGAGGAGCACTACGACGAGGAGCAGGATCAGCAGCAGCAGGTGGAATATTATGACGAAGAGGAGCAGGAGCAATATCACGGTGACAACGAGCAGGCACACGACTACGACGACGACGAGGATGACAATGACAGTGAGGCGTTTGCAGCAGAGGTGGAGGCGATGGTCTCGGAACGGGCAGAGCGGGCGCGACGTCTGCGGTTGGACTTGTACCCGCAGGCGTTCCTGGGCCATTACGGGAACATCCAGGCCAACCAGCTGTTCCCGCACTACGCACCGTTCTTTGTCAACATGGAGAAGCTCATCCGGGAAGAGGTTCCTGAGCGCCCCGACTTCCACGAGCACATTCCAGATGGAGGCGAGTACGTCGTGCCTGATCTCGAGAAGCTCGAGAACTGGCGGAGGTTGCACGGACACGAGGGGCCTATCATCGAGGAGGGTGGCTGCCAGATCTACAACTCTGCGTCGCACCGCAGCCGGCCAATGGCCGGGCAGCAGGAAATGTCGAACGGTTCACTGACCCAGGCGGCGACTGGCTCGTGGGCCACAGGCGATGCTGGCCGCAAGCTGCGCATGAAGATTGTCAATCGAAACGAACTTGGACTGCCGCACGAGCGGTTCCGCGACACCATGATAGGTAGCAGCAGGGACCCACCTGTCGCCCTGCGGTACGAGTGCAACTTCACCGTCTACGTCCGCCGCATCCCTGAGAAACAACGCACTGGATTGTGGGTGCCCGTACTACTTACTACCTCTCTTTTGATGATGCCCTGTGAGCTGACCGTCACCCGCAGCGACATCTATCGGTTTGTGCCAATCAACTTCATCCAGGCCACGACCAACCCCATCATCATGTCTCGCCTCAAGAGACACATTGTGGTCTTTGCGCCTGGTGTAAGTCATTGGCATGATGTTTGTTGATCGTGACTCACACCTCGCGGGGGGGAGCAGATCTTCCCGCGGATATACGACTGGACGACCTTCCCTGTGTACACGCTGACGGAGCAGATGTACAAGTCGATGCGGCCTTACCTGCAGGAGAACGGAACGGCCGACGACAAACTGGACCCGTTGAGGGTTGAATTCCTCGCGATCTTCGAGCGCCTGCTAGCGTACGCACACACGGGGAATGCGCGAGTGATAGCTGGGTGCATGACGTTGCTGTGGTTCAAGCGGGCTCTGCTTGAGCTGGGCTTCCCGTGCATCCACCCCGACATCTTGCTCGACTTGGAGAACGAGTTCCCGCTGTCCATCCCTGTGACGCGCTGGCCGCTTATAAAGTCGACCATGACCCCTCAGACTGCATCCGCACGGTCCATCGAGCTGACGTGGGGGCCCGCAGTATTGGCGGTAAGTCTTACCTCAACTGTGTGTGTGTGCGCGCACCACTGGAGTAGGGGTGCGCGCACTCGCAGATTGGTGTGTTTTAGGTGATCGCGCGCGATCACGCACGTTCACCTAAAATGGGGGTATTTTGGCAATGCTGACGACACCCATTTGCACGACAGTCGTACCTGGCCACGTTCACTCTGCAGATCATCGAGATGCAGGACATCCCGGCCAAGTACAAGGAAGCGCGCGACAACGACCCCGAGTTCGCACGCGCAGTCATGGTCGCGGACCTTGGCGTCAGGTTGCTCATCGGTGACTTGAAGGAGTTCGTGGCGAGAGAAGTGCGTGCGCGAGCGAAGCGAGTCACCCAAGCGGATATGGAAAAGATGTCCGAGCTCGAGCTCCACCACCACACTCACCGCGAAGAGACCATGGAGCAGTGGATGGAGTGCGTGAACGCGTTCTCCCACAACAGCAAACAGGTCGAGCCCGGGAAGAAGACGGACAAGAAGGGCAAGGCTGTGGCGAGCACGGCTGTCCCGTACGCACTCCTGGTGCGCACACTCGCACAGACCCCTGCAGACATCCGCGCAGGGCTGCCAAAGGGGTTATGGGGACAATCGAGACGACCCAGGGTGCTTTGGCGCCCTGTAAACCCTAGCTAACCCTATAGACGCCCGAATTTTAGCACCCGGAACACCGCACGGACTGCTCGGGCACGTGACTGTGCGTCCGCGACGCACAGCGTGCACACAGAGACTGAGCAGGCCCGTGCTGCAGTGCTGTGAGTCGAGGACTCACAGCAGGCACAGGGAACGTGCTCGCGCCCCTCCCACTGCCCTCCTGTGCGTCGCGGACGCACAGCAGAGCAGGGCTCGTAGCGTGGGAAGCGCCCGCCGATCGCCTGCCCGATCGGGCAGGTGCCAGGTCGTACGCGTGCCCGGGTGCACCTGCTGCTCTGTCCACTGTACGGACCACGCGTGCTGCCTGTGCGTCGACGACGCACACGGCCCCTGCCCCGCTGTGCGTCCGCGACGCACAAGAGGGCAGTGGGAGCCCGCTGCGCGGGGAGCGCCCGCCGATCGCACGCCCGATCGAGCAGGCGCCACTCGCCCGGGTGCACCTGCTGCCCTCTCCGCCGCGCGGACCACGCGTGCCTCTTGTGCGTCGAGGACGCACAGGCCCCACTGCCCTGCTGTGCGTCCGCGACGCACAGGACGGCAGTGGGGGCTCGTCATGTGGTGAGGGCCCGCCGATCGCACGCCCGATCGAGCAGGCACCACTCGCCCGGGTGCACCTGCTGCCCTCTCCGCCGCACGGACCACGCGTGCCTCTTGTGCGTCGAGGACGCACAGGCCCCACTGCCCTGCTGTGCGTCCGCGACGCACAGGACGGCAGTAGGAGCTCGTCGCACGGGAAGCGCCCGATCGGGCAGGCGCCGCTCGCCCGGGTGCACCTGCTGCCCTCTCCGCCACACGGACCACGCATGCAGCTTGTGCGTCGAGGACGCACAGGCCCCACTGCCCTGCTGTGCGTCTGCGACGCACAGAACGGCAGTGGGGGCTCGTCGTGTGGCGAGGGCCGGCCGATCTCGCGCCAGATCGCACAAGCGCCCACCCGACGACCTGCCCGTGACTGCTGGCGGTGCAGAGCGCACGCGTGCTCCTTGTGAGTCGAGGACGCACACCCGCGACGTCGCCCGCTTACGACGTCCATGCGGCGTTGTGCGTCGCCGACTCACAGCGGCGAGGCGGGCGAGATCGAGCCCGCACCCGTCAGCCACCGACGGGCGCTCGCTCGATCATGCCCTCCTACCGCCATCTCCATCCCCTCCCACCTCCTCCCCACCTCCCTGTCGCGTCCCACCAGGCCCCCGCACCCCGCCGTCAAGCCCGCGGCACGCCCCGGTACCGAACGCAAGGCCCCGCGCGAGGAAACGCCCGCGGGAAGGCCACGTCATCACGACGTGGCCCGGCCAGCAAGAGCCGGACCGCGAGACCCGCCCAATGGCGGCTCGCGCTCGACGGAGGAGGGCTGGAGGAGGGTTAGACAGACGAGAGGGACGGGCTACAAGGTGAGTAGCCCGTTGTTTGACCCATCCCGCCGTCTCCCGCCCGCCCGCTCGCAAATCCGGCCGACCTCCACCTCCACGGCCACACCCCGCCATCCACGCCCCTCGCAACAGCGGGGGATGTGCGTCCTCGACTCACACGCCCCCGCGTCCGCTTTTACGCCCACCCCGTCCGTCTCGCGACCGCCAGCCCGCCCGGCAGGCCGGTGTGAGTCGAGGACTCACAACGGCCGCACGCACGCCCTCCCGGACCCAACGCGCCCCTCAAGGCTGCCCCACGCGCAGGGGTGTGCTGGCAGAGCACCCCGCCACACGCCGAGCCCACCCGCCAGTCGATCGACCGGCCCGCCCGCTCGTCAAGCCCCCCGCCCGCTCGTTGCCCACCTGCCGTCGATCTCAGCCCACCCCGCCGTTTACGACCGGACGAACGGCTCGACGGTGTGCGTCGCGGACGCACACGCCCCACGCGTTCGCCGCCATGCCCACCGCGCGCCTCCACCGCCCCATACATCGCTCGCCAGGCCGGTGTGAGTCGGCGACTCACACCGGCTCCTCAAACCTCTTCTACCGCCTGCCAAGCCCCGTCCCGCTCGTCACGCCTGCCCCACACATCGGGAGGCCCCGCTGACGCACTCCCCACCCGCCGACCTCGCCCGCTCGCCCTCGTTTGACCCGCCTGCCGAGCCCGCCGACCCGCCAACCATCCCGCCACCTCCCCGCCTTCTACGACCCGACGCACGGGGCGGTGCTGTGCGTCGCGGACGCACACACCCCACGCGTCCGCTTCCACACCCGCCAAGCATCCGCGCCGCCCGTTCCACCGTGCGCCAGGCCGGTGTGAGTCTGCGACTCACACCGGCTCGTCACCCTCCCACTCTCGCTTGCCGGACCGCTCCCCATCCCTCACGGCTGCCCTATGTGTAGGGGTGCGTCCAACGTCGCACCCGCTATGCTCCGACCTCGCCCGCCAATCCCCGTTGGCCCCGTCTGCCCGCCTGTCGAGCCCACCCACTCGCCGTCGATCCCACCTACCCCGACATCTACGACCCGACGAACGAGTCGGCGGTGTGCTTCGCCGACGCACACACCCCGCCGCGAGCTCGCCAAGCCCGCGCCTCGTCGATCCCACCCACTGGCCATCGATACCGCCCGATGGCCATCGATCCGCCCACCCCGCCATCTACCGCCCTCCGAGGAACGCGGCGTGTGCGTCGTCGACGCACACGGCCCACCCGTCTCTTTCGGCGCCCACGCGCACCTGTTCCGCGATCGCCAGCTCGCCTGGCAGACTGGTGTGAGTCGCCGACTCACACCGGCGACTCGCCCGCCCTCTGCCGCCTACGCGGCGCTCTCGACAGCGCTTTGCGAAGGACGGGACTGTGGGCACACACCCCCGTCGTCGGCGCGCCGAGCCCCGGCTGTTGCTGCGTCACCAGTCCGACATGCCCGACCGTCCTGTGGCGAACACAAGGTATGGCTGCGTACACTTTCGGTGCACCCAGCCATGCCTCGTCTTCGCCTGCACGTTGCGACGTCCCAATCGGACGTACCCTACTTTGTCTGACATTGACTAACTGGGCGCCGAGCACCTCATCTGTGAGTCCGCGACTCACAGCTGCCATGCAAGCCCTTTCCCACTAGACTGCACCTGGGACCCACTCTCACTGGGTCTCTCGGGACAGCATGCATACGTGTGCTGCGTGCAGTCGATGTGCCTTGGTGAGTTCCGATAATGCGATGGCTGTGTGCGTGTCAAATGGCGAGTAAGTACATCTTGAATCCATTTATTTCCCACGAGGGCGTAGGCATATGTAGGCAGTATAAGGTAGATGCACGAGGACGTGACTATGTATAGTAAGGAACTAGGAGCGGGTGGTTCAAAGTAACGGTAATAACACATGCATGTACAGTAGTTCCAATAGGGAAATATTCAGAGCAATGAGGGGTCGAGGATGATAAATGACATGGACTCCCACGTATAGATGCCAAGTTTGAGAAACAGTGTTTGATATGCATGAATAGTTTGACTTGGAGATGGAATTGGGTATTGTGCACTGGCTTCTAATGGGGCTCGTGATTGGTGTTCTCAGGCACAATGATAGTAAATATGATGGGTGCTTTGGTAATGAATGTGAACTCCTCAAGTACCAAAGAAACAAAGGTTCCCTAAGCTAATGATTTCAAACTGTAACTAACTAATGCTGAATGATACAGTCAATTATCAATGTCCTGCTTATCTCAATTGGAACACAACAACACCCAGTCATGCTGTCATGGCCATTGTGTGGATGTATACAGGTGCAAATCATGGATTATAGCACAGAATTGTTGAGAATGAGGCATAGTATAGGTACAATGACATTGCACGATGCTTTAGTAATCAGGCATGTACTCACCCAATTATTCCAATAATACCACATATTCAGTACCTACCCCTATGCCTGGTGCCCGGTGCCCCTGCTGGGCAATCTAACCATATATGGAAATATTTTCCCACGACCCCCCTGCTGGGCAGTGCCTGCCGGGCACTCCCGACCGCCAACTCAAACTGTCTTTCTACGTGCATAACACGTCCATCCTGACCATTCTCGCTCGTCACTGTCGTTCTCTCACTCACATCCTCTTTTCTCTTTTCTTCAGCACCTCTCACAGGGACCCACACTGCATATCGGACCACTCTCACTCGTGGCTGAAACAACTTTGAATGTTGGGCGTGCCCCACTGCCAACGTACACACGTCACCACCTGTATGTCCCCACATGCAATGGGACCTGTTATCCATTCCTTGTCAACAGCAGGCAACCAGAAGGAGAGCAATACATCCGCTCAGTAGTGCTACTGTTCCACCCGTTGCACCGTCAACCATCACTCACCGAACAAATCCCCAAGTCATGCAATTTTACCATTCCTGGTCTGCTGAATGTGTGGCAGCACTCCATGTACGCTAGGAAAGACATTCCAGAGCATATCTGGCCTCTGTGTGCACTGAGCAGAAGCACGGACGACTATTGGTCTTATTATGCCAACTAACCACCGATTCAATCCCAGAGTTGTGCCTGTTGACATTTCAAGTGGTCTAAATGCACCACAATAGTCAGTCGATATCAGGAGATGTTTTCTCCATCAGACACATGCCCTCCGTGCCCCCCATAAATCCACGTTGAAATACAAGTTGTTTCCGCTGAACAAACACCAAACAAATCACAAAGTTGCACACAATGACAGCTCAGGCTTTCTCAACAGGCAAGAATGGGCTCACAATGCCAGGGCCTACTCCCCAACTCATATGCAAGCCATATGACCGCTCAGCACAGCTGCGGAACGTCTGAGTTGTTCCCGACAACAAAACAACAAACAATTCACAGAGCTATACCAACTCACAATCTACATGGTCTGAACTCACCATAATAGCATATCTGTCTCAGGCAAGGGTTCCCACATCCAACGCAAGCCATCTAACTGCTCAGTAGTGCCACATTTAAATGAAAGTGATTTGAGGGAAACAAATACAAAACAAATCACAGTGCTGTGCCCAATGGCAAATTTTGCACTCTCAACATGCCACGACAGCCAATCCAAGATGGCAAAACAGCCACTCAGTGGTAGGCACATGCAAACAACTCACTGACAAGTCATACAAGTGCACAGTACGGCCATGCAGACTCTTAGTCATGCTCAATGACACACATACCAAACAAATCACACAGCTCTATTGAAAGGCATTCAAAACCATTGTAACATGGAAAAATGTTCCCAGAGTACTTAGAGTGATACCTGAATTGATCCATCAGTCATAGGACCACTGAATTGAGCTATACTGAATTGAGCATGACCTCAATAGAACAATCAACAAACAATTCACAGTTGTGTAACAAGTGAAGCCTCGGATGATCTGAACATGCCAGAATAGTCCATCAGTACAAGGGAACACATCACAACTCACCCACATGCCATATAATAGTTCAGTAGAGCCATGGTCAGTCTCAGTCATTCTTGCTGACACAATATCCAGCAGGGCACAGGGAGACAACCAACAGTATAAATGTGAATACAAATATACCACAATATGCAGTCTATATTGAGAAACAGTCCACAAGTCAAACAGGAGGCCTACATGCACCCAGTAAAGCTGTGTCTCAATACGAGCAGTTTTGACCAATCACAATATCCAGCAATGCACAGAGAGACAACAAATGGTAATAATGTGAATCCAAATATGCCAAAATATGTCATCTACATTGAGAAGGCGTCCACATGTGGAACAGGACTCCCCAATAGGCCCACACTCAGTCAAAGTCATTCTCGATGACACAATATCCAGCAGGGCACAGGGAGACAGCCAACGGTATAAATGTGAATACGAGTATGCCAAAATATGCGGTCTGCATTGAGAATCAGTCCACAAGTTAAACGGGAAGCTTACATGTACTCAGTAAAGCCACGTCTCCAGATGAGCAGTTTCGGCTCAACAAATCCCAAACAATTGCCAGAGCAACACCCAGTGGCAAACCCAGCCATCTAAACATTCCAGAGTGATCCATCAGTACTAGAGACAATATGAAAACTCACCCACATGCCACATGGCAGCTCCGTCGGGCTGCACTCAGTCTCAGTCATTCTCGCTGACACAATATCCAGCAGGGCACAGGGAGACAACCAACGGTATAAATGTGAATACGAGTATGCCAAAATATGCGGTCTGCATTGAGAATCAGTCCACAAGTTAAACGGGAAGCTTACATGTACTCAGTAAAGCCACGTCTCCAGATGAGCAGTTTCGGCTGAACAAATCCCAAACAATTGCCAGAGCAACACCCAGTGGCAAACCCAGCCATCTAAACATTCCAGAGTGATCCATCAGTACTACAGACAATATGAAAACTCACCCACATGCCACATGGCAGCTCCGTCGAGCTGCACTCAGTCTCAGTCATTCTCGCTGACACAATATCCAGCAGGGCACAGGGAGACAACCAACAGTATAAATGTGAATACAAATATACCACAATATGCAGTCTATATTGAGAATCAGTCCACAAGTTGAACGGGAAGCTTACATGTACTCAGTAAAGTCACGTCTC